AGCCAGCAAGGCTGGCTGGGGATTCTGGGAGCTGAGGCCCACCCATCTTCAAGGGGCCGAGGTTGAGGAACCCTGCTGTACAAGATGGCAAACAGAAGCTGTCCCCCAACACTGGCATTCCCAAGACCCTCTCCCCCCACACGCCTTCCCTCAGAAAAGCAAACCGCCATACAGATGGTGAAGCCCTTTAGGGGAGAGTCTGTTCCTGCATATTCTAAAGCGGATTAAATTCAGAAAGCGCGCTAAAAACAACTCGGCTCTTCCGGAGGAGAGAATGGCTTCTTTAGTTTTAAAATACTCAAACCAAGACACCAACGGCCACTTCGGAGGCTGTGCTGTTCATCCTGTCAGTTTATTTTATTTATTAAATTAGAATATCCATACACTGCATAGGGTTTACAACTTTTCTGAAAGAAAAGTATAAAGCGTTTATCATGATTGGTCATTTTCATGGCAGTATCAGGAGAACATGATTTCTAGTTAGAAAACCAGTGATTCCAGAACAATATATGTAAAAATTATAAACCATATGAAATTAATAGGGAAGCATCCGCCCTTCCCTGCAGACCTTCCTTCAGAGCCTCCACCACCATCCGTGGCTCTGGGACGCAGCCTATGCTCTGTGCTAATGAATTTCCCCAGGCAGTACCGTGAGGTTCCCCTCAATGGCACCCTTTCCCAAACGTTGCCCAAGTAACAGCTTTCCCGTGGCGTACCATGTTGCCTCTTTGCTTCTCCCTTTTGGGGGGTTTCCCCGACCTTCCTTCCGGTAAGGTGTTCTGAGTCCTCCCACCCAGAATCCACCTGCCAATGGGCTTTTCTGGGTCACACCCTCTTCCCACACCACAGAGGCTCAGCGCTTTGCCTCTGCCAGCCCCTCCTTGCTGATCGTGGGGAGCAGGAGCTCCAAGTCCAAAGCTGGACCTCCGCTTTGCGCTCAGGCAGGGCTTTCCGCTGCCACTGTGTCACTAGGCCAGCAGCATGCTAGCCAAGCTCTGTGATACATCTCCAGAGTGTGGGTGCAACTCTACCAATGTACTATCTCAGGGCCCAAGAGGTCATCTGTTGTTAAGCATCGGCACGGCGCAGCGTGGCTCTGCAAGATGCTGCTGATTGCTCTCCTCTGGGTGCCCCTGCCGGTTGGACAGGAACCCCTCCCTTGAGTGAGAGAGGCACACGTTTATATTGTTAGTCCTCAAGGCTTGATTGCTCCTGGAGTCCCACTGCTGAATGGAACTTGTCTGCTTGCCAAAAACTTTATGTGGTGGGTCCTGAAGCGCTTGATATTCTGTGTCAGAAAGAGGGAATGTGCGGGGCTCCCAAGGCTGTACATTCTAGAACAGAGAGGAAGAATAGTACGGTTAGTAGAACAGAAGAAGTGGCAGCACTTTATGCTTCCCTCTTGTGATTTCTAGTTCAGATCATAAACTGAGTAGAGGCTCTCCCTTGAAATAAGGAAGCAGCAGCCACATCCTCAAATCTTACTTGCAGTCGGTCCCCATGAAGTACATTAAGGCTCAGATTCAGACATAATGCCAAGCAACCGTTTGTGCCCCCTTCCAACCATAATTTGTGAGTTAATACTGAATCAGAGAGAAAAACAAACTATGGCTTGGCAGCAGGGACTTTTTTGGGGGGGGAATGTATCTGATTTAACCATGGTTTTCCCAAATAAAGTATGTTTGAGATCAATGTGACTTGCAACACTTCAATGAAAAAATCTTTTTTAGCATTCCTACAAAACTAAGGTACTTCACAGAGCCATTCAAAGCCCCAATGCAAAGTGCCAGACTGACTTTGTATCCCCATCATCCATAACTCAGCAGCAGATCTAGAAACTGCTTTCTTTAAGGCTTATTTAAACCGATGCTGTGTTTGTGGCCTTTTACAGCTCTGGCATTATCACCACATATTCCCCACACTCCCAATCTCATCTAGGAGCGAGACCTTCATTCCAAATGTACAAAACTGCAAACACTCTCTGATGTTTGGTATTCGCTGTATGTACACTCCTCAACTGCTTAATACAGGTAGTCCTCGGGTTACAACGATTCGTTCACCGACCCTTCAAAGTTATGACAGCACTGAACGAGGGGGACTTACGGTCCTCGGAGTTCCGGCTGCTGCAGCGTTCGCACAGTCACATGATCACGATTTCCAATGTTTCCTGCCGGCTTCCCACAAGCAAAGTCAATGGGGAAGCCGGCAGGAAGTCGCAGTCACATGAGGTCCTTGCTTAATGATGGCTACCGGGACTGCTGGAATTGCTGCTGCTAAGCAACACGGTCACATGACATCGCACTTTATGACTGCATCGCTTAGCAAGGGAAATTCCAGTCCCAATTACTATTGTAACCTGAGGACTATCTACACACTGGAGTTGCCCATCAATGGGACATCAAGTTCTCTGAGCAAGGAAAGTAGCATCACCTGGATCTCATCTGTATCGAAGGAAGAGAAAGCAGAGTCTTCGCTCAAGGAATTCCCTCCTCTGCCTCTTAACAAAAGGGGCGTCAGGATGTTGGAAAGCTCTGGGCTGAGCGATCCTGTGGGAGAGTTGGCACCCTGGGGATAGTGAAGACTATACGGCACACTGTCCTGGCAGCCTGGATGAGGCATCCATCGCCCATCTGCTTTATTGGAGCTCCTGAAAGGAGAACGGAGCAGAGAACCCAATCACATTGCAAGCATGAAACCTAACACTGGAACCGCAGCAGCAAGCAAGCAAGCGGCCTCAAGAGAGGCACTGGGATGGTGGGTGCAGCTGGGGCGGTTTTATTCCTTCCAACTCAACGGGGGGGTTGAGACCCTTCTATCAGCAGGTAACTCTCCAAAAGCAGTTCAGAGCTGGGGGCAAGTTTGGGGGGGGGGGATGAGAAGGTGGCAAAAGAAAAAACAAGTTCAAAATTGCACCAGATCCAGCCAGGGGCTGCAGAGAAGGAAATTCCAGAAAAGTTTCCCCAGTTGGGGGAGTTGGGCAAGGGCTTAGAAAGTTGGTGACTGCTCCCTTCTAAGCCTCCCCCCAGTCATCTGGCCCAGAGTGGAGACATTATTCATTCACTTACTTATACAATTTAGAGGCCACCTGACTCCACCCAACTCTGGGTGTCTCATTTACTGCACACTAGTGATTATCTTCTAGTGGTTTCTTCCTGCTGCGTTAACGCTAAAGCATTGTTCCTGTGCCTGCCGAGGGGGAATTAGTTTGACAGAAATTCTGCAAGGCTTAAATGAGAGAATAGGGCTTCTGGACACAAAGGCTGGGTTCTAACGCAGTGCGGTTCTGCTCTAGGGTAAAGTCAGTCATAGTGATCCGAAGGCCATGGTTTATGGTTTAACACATGCGACTCAGCCATTATGCTTTCTGCTTGGTGAAACCAGACAGTTTAAGCCACTCTCTTTTGGAGGAGCTGCAGACCTTGTTTTTGTGGTAGGGGAGGTGAAACTGACTGCACCTTATACAGGCAGTCCCTGGGTTAAGAATGCCAGAATTACAGATGACCCATAGTTAAGAACAGAGCCTGCTGTAGCAAAATTTAAGTTAAATACACAATAGTTCGAGTTCATTACCCAACACTACTTGTACAGTATTATACAATCATACTGTTCCGTCTTACGTACGAATTCGACTTAAGGACAGACCTTGGGAACGGAATTCATCCTTAAACTGGGGACTCCCTGTATCAAGAGTAAGGAACCTTCAGTGATGGCAGCCAAGGATCCAGCTCACCTCAGTTCTGTCTCATTAGCAGCCCTCAAGGGCACTTCCATTCTGTCTGCTCATTTGAGGTGAGCCTTCAGAATACTTTATGCTCCCTAAGGGCAACAACCAGCTAGATGGAAGAAAACAGAAGTAACTTTCCTTTCTGTCTCTTCCTTTTTAAGAGATGCTTTTCCATCACAAACACTAGAAAGAAATCAAATTCTAGGTCTAGGCAAAATCAGGAGTGGATCTGGTTAATGAGTGCAGTATCCGCAGATCTAAAACCTCTCCAGGAGCCACACAGCACCCTCATGCTGGGGCTTAGAGGGCAGAGAAATAATTGCGCGAGTTGCAGCTTGTTCTTTCCTCTGAAGATCTGATTTAGACTTGCAACCTTTCTCTCTGTGAACACTTGGTGCAGAAGGATCCTCTCTGGATGACAGCATGGAGCACAGAGAGCCGTAGGGAACAATTACCTGTTCCCTCGTCTGTGGGAAGAAGTTCCTGTCCAGGAATCCCAGCGTGCTCGTTCCAGCTCTTCAAATTTTTGGTGATAGTTTAGATAGATTTCATCTGAAGTGTCTTCCAGCTAGAACAAAAGAAAGTTGGTAAGATCTAACTGTCTCCAATTTCAGAAATGTGGGGCCGGGGGAAGGCACAATCAATAGTTATTTCTTGATTGGTTAGATTTGCGTCCTCCCTTTCGTACAGACCAGGATGTTACGATCTGGAGGCACCCCCGCTCACCGCTGATTCACACTCTTTTCTACCTGGCCATTCCCTGATTTTGGCTTTGTTGTACAACTTCTATATAGAGAAGCACTCTCAACCTGACCCAGCTCACAAAACAGAGGGACTGGGGAGCCACATGGCAAGATATACAACAAATGGAAGTGGATCACAGATGCCAGGTGGACAACACCTGATCTGCGGGTGCTGCAAAGTCCCCAGATGGTGACCAGTCTGCACAGAAGCTTTGGGAGCAACCCAGGTCCATAGATTTGCTGCTTGAGACTGCTCTCTTACCTCTGTGTCCGCTTCTCCTAAGATCATCAACTCTCTGGGATCCACCATTCTCCAGCTAAGAGGAGAAAAGAGAGGCAAAGTCATAATTCTGCCAAAGCAATTTTCTACAGAAGAGTCTTAAAGCCGGGCTTACTCCTGCATCCCTGTTACTCTGGAGCAAATGCCTTGCACACACACATAGCTTTTTACTGCTAGTAATTTATACATAGGTACTAGAACTATGCTGGTTTCTTCACCTCTGCCCCATACAGATAATAACCAGGCTAAATCTCAGCTATACAAGTGAGGCTGAAACATTTTATAAGGAGATGAAGCACAGACTATGCTGTGTTAAGCCATAATGTAGATTTTGTTTGGCTTAGGCTTAGCATGTTGTGTGAAGGCCACTGTGGTTTGCAGACCACCCACTGCTGATGTTTAGAGTGTCAATTCTCCACAGGATTAAAAAACACACATTCTGTTCCCCACAGACATCTGGCTTCTGCAGTTCCTCACCTCAAGCATCATAAAATGTCCAGCATAAAATTCAGCTCTGGATTACTATGATTTTAATAATTACAGATTTACTGTATACTGCTAAAGGAATTCATTTCATATTTTATTTACTAGTAAAGCTGCCATGAGTGCTATATGGTATAGTCTGTTTTTTAAAAAAAATAGAGCTGTTAAGCATCTCTGTCTCCTCAGCTCAGATCCACAAGAACATAAAAACATGTCAGTTTGCTCAGCAAAAATTCAAGCTATTGTAGGTTCCCTGTTGCAGAAGGGAGAGGGCTTGTTACGATTCAGTTCAGACACTAATATGATTCCTGCTCTCTGCTCAAGCATTAATGCATCGCTCATAACAGCAGAGCTATACTCTGATTCTTACAAAAGACAATGGAATTCCTTATCATAGCGACAATTTCCTTTCTTCATGTGGGTCTAAATTCCAGCTGCTCTGTAAATATTAAGAATTTCTAAATGAACTTACCTTGGTGTTAAAATCTCTTTGTACTGCAGCTTTTCCACCCGTGTAGCTGCAGCCATTGACATTGGAATAACTATATTGTTGATATCATAGGAACATTCCACTTTTTTCTTCTTTGCAGGCTGCTGAAACCATACAAGAATCATTTAAAGAATTCCACACGCTGTCAATCTTACTACTTTGTAGCATGTAATTGATTGACACCACCCTGAAATGGTTAATTTATGTCACCAATCGCCACTTTTTCTGTGCTGAAAAATAAAATATCTAGACTTGGGCCCAGCCGCTTTTGCAAAAGTGACTTATCACATGCAAAGGAACCTGCCAGGATGACCTCAAATGATATGACCAAGTTTGCAAGCTACACCTGAAATGGCTACAACAGTTTTCCATAGAGAATCTGTGTGGCATGAAAATGTCAACTTAACCCTTCAAAAATATAATAGAGAAAACCTGGAGATAAAATGCTAAAAACCAGAAGACAAAACATTGAAGAACACAGAAACAGTTCCCCCCTCAAACAAAGAGAAATAGAACATAATCTTCACTGCCAATCTAAAATGCACATTTTACCTAACCTTAGAAAATGTAAATAGTTTAATACGATCAATGCAGCAATAATCTGAGTGATAACTTTAAAAGCAAAATTTAAACTTCTGTGGGGAAGGTGCTTGCAAAGTGCATGCCATCTGGCGGGGCCCAGGAAGCTGCCTTCTCTGTCATGGCGTCTGCCCTCTGGAATGAAATCCCCCCAGAGGGCTGGATGCCTCCCACCCTGATGGCATTCCTGAAGCTTCTGAAGACCTGGCTTTGGGATAGGTTGAGAGTGGAGCCCCTATTGGGTGGATTTTTTGTTAATATGCCCGTCTTCAAGCTGCTTATGATTTTTTTCTTTTTTTGCCACTGTTTCGTAATTGTAAGCCATCCAGGGTCATCAGAAGTCAGGTAGCCTCCAAACTGCTTGCTTGCTATATGCATGCATGCATGCATGCATGGATAATTAAATTAAGCAAATAAAAGACAGTTCAGGATGAAGAGAACGGGACATCCTTGATAAACCACCACACAGCTCTCTGGAACATTCTCACTCTGTCAGACAAGGGAAGGAGCTTAAGCTGAAAGACGGTCCCCCGGCAGCATCGTTTTCTTTCTTAGAAGGATCTTGTTCCAGCTCACCAGTGCTGAGCTGCTGGCAGTTGCAGGATGACCAGGAACTTGATTGGAGTGTGGAACGGGAGGATTTTCGAGGCACAAAGAGGGCCCATGGTGTGAGGCGCTCGGCTTGGGGGTAGGAGGGTTAGCAGTGCACAAGCTGCAACTGGGCAACCCTTTCAGCAGAGAACCTGGGAGGGAAATGCGAGGGTAGAGAAGCTTCAGTGAAATCCAAGTCGCCTCCTAAATCCCAGCTATTCTACGCCTGTGTCAGGATCAGCAGTTAACAAGGAATGCTAACTCTGCATTCTGCCAATCACCAAAACAGATTTATTTTCCAAATGCACTCTTTTCCAGTCATCAGGCAGGAATATACTGCAGGCATATGATGTTGCCTCCATTATTCATCATCATCCAATTAGTCTAATTCTCTGAGAGATTTACAACAATACTGTAAAATCTAAAAACCCTAGCTGATGTAACTATAAACCCCAGACTCTTTATGCTTGTTGATGCAAAACCATGAGGAGGATAGAGAGAGGAGCTAGCCCCCTATTGTACTAATAATGGTACCCAGTAATCCTGAACTCTGATAGCCTCGACATGGATGACGGGAAGGATATAATTAGGTAATAACGTATTTGTAGGATTCCCTATCATGAAGTCTGAGGATGACCATTCAGAACAGGTGACACCTTCAGGGAAACCACCAAGAGAGCCTCCATCTACAGAGCTGGCCACCCATCTGAAGGCCAGATGCTGAGGACACTGGTGCACTCATCCAGCACTCTGCGACTGAGGCCGCATACAAGCCAACAAATAAACACAAATCACATGACCAGGCATACCTAGCTGGTCACTGTTGGGACTGAATGTAGGCTAGATGAAACTTATCAGATACGGCAAAACAACGATCATATTTAGAACTACACTGCCCATGAGGTAGGTATGACATCATCGCGTCATAGAGATAAATTATGTTTCTCATCTATAATTTACCAGGTGCAGAAAGAGCAGGTGAGCAGAAGTTGTTGGTAAGGTCTTTCAGGCCACAGTGGGGTATCTTCAGAGACTTGGGTTCATGGCTTAGCCAATGGTCTTCTCTCAGGAAGGCCTCAAAGTGTAAATGAAGAGGGTTGCCTGTTAACAGAAGAAAGTAAAATTCCCACTTGAGGAGAAAAAGGGTGACAGATAATACACAGCTAGCCCTTTTCATGAGGGAGTCACCACAGAGATGGCAAGGTAGGAAACAGTCCTACGAAAGAAGTTTGAGGGAGAGGTGCTAACGCTCTGAGTACCAGAAGGGCTTTACACAGAATCTCCAGTTCTTTAACGTCCCAACGGGCAGAGGATATGTAGGAGGAGCAGGAGGAGGAGGCACAAGGGCAGCTTTGAACACAGGGAGTCCCCGGGTTAAGAATGGCCAGGTTACAGATGACCCATAGTTAAGAAGGGAGCCCGTGGTAGCAAAATTTGAGTTGAATACACAATGGCCCGAGTACATTACATAATACTACTTATTTAGTATTACACAATACTACTTATACAGTATTATACAAATTTGACTTAAGGGCAGACCTTGGGAACAGAACTCGTTCTTAAACTGGGAACTACCTACACAAAAGTAGGGAAGAGCAGGGGGTTTCAGACATTTTCAGGGTATGTTTATTGAAAACCACCACCACCACCACCACAATTATTTCCCAAAACCCCTGATCCAGAAGGGTGGGCCTTCTGGCAATCCCCACCCTTTCTATGGTGCCTGAATGACTCAGGGAAAGAAATCTCGCTGGGAGGTGCTAAGGCTTACGGTTCCCTGGAACCCAGTTGAAAAACCCTGCATTAGACGACACAGGCTGGTCTTTGGGGAGGGGAGGATTGGAATATGCCTGGGTTTTTTTAATATTTCGATTGCTTAATCCATTTAATGAACTAATAAGTCTTGTAGTGTATTAAATGAAATGTTTTTCCCCGTCAGCCTCACTGCAAGGGAGCAGATGTTGCAGCGAGGGTTCCATTCCTAATTAACTCGCATTCCTTATGCCTTTCTCTCAACCAGTAGTCACGTTATTTAAAGATGGCCACTTTAGCAATACGTCTTCATCAAGGTTGAAGAACTGAGTCACATCCTGAGCTAACAGAGATGAGCAAAACTTGGGAGATGTTTGGCCATGGAGAATCACAACACACGAATCCTTAAAAAAACATCCCCAAAGCCCAGAACACTTCATTATCATGGGTCTTCTCACAGAAGTAGCTCTCTTTGATAACTATTAAAATCATTAGCTTATTTGCAAACCCAGCCAAATTATGTATCATTTCTGCTTGCAGAGGCACGTGTACCTCATTTGCTTAATTTCTATTACAGGTAGTCCTCGGTTAAGGACTACTCATTCAGCGACCATCAAAGTTACGACAGCACTGAATGAGTGGTACTTACGACTGGTCCTCAAAGTTCCAGCCATCCCAGCACCTCTGCAGTCACATGATCGTGATTTGGGTGCTCTGCAACTGGCTCACAGTTATGACGGTTGCACCATCCCAGTCACATGATTGACATTTGCAACGTTCCCTGCTGGCTTCCCACAAGCAAAATCAATGAGGAAGCCGGCAGGAGGCCACAAATTGCTTTGGTAAATCACACGCACTCTCCCCCACCTGGCAGCAGCTACCCATGCACCCTCCCCTGCCCAGCAGCAGCCACTTACCTGCCTGCCAGCCTGCTTGCGAGCCACCAGGGACTGGTTTAACGATCCACAATCCTCGCTTAACAGCAGCGACAGGGAGTACCGGGATTACTATCACTAACCAATGCAGTCATGTGACATTGTGCTTTATGACCACATTGCTCAGCAATGGAAATTCTGCTCCTGGTTACCGTAGTTAACAAAGGACTACCCATATTCCCATTCCAGGCATTTGTCAGGGAGCTCTTCCCTCTCTGGGATATGGCTGGCTGGTCCCCGAACAAGCAAGAGCGGAAAACGGCTGGCGGAAAGTATGCCGAGTATCTTTTTGTCTATCTTTATCTGCTTCCCTCTCCATGGAACGTTATGGCGTTTCTGACAGTCACTGAAGTTAGAGATTTAGGAAACGGCTAATATCCAGCATCCTTTCTAAGGATTCTAATATTTGTATCATTTTTATAGTATTATAAATATGTAGAGCATATAGAAATTTTAAAATGGTGAATACTGATTTTTTATTGCCCTACAGCTTGCAGCCCTGGTATATCTAGCAGTCTTAAATACCCTTAGAAAGGTGAAATATTTATTTTTTGGGAAAAGGCCACACAGACATACCAAATCTTTTTTTTTTTTTTAATAAAACCTCTTACATGTTAAAATGCAGCTGCATAAATGTGGCAAAGGAGAGGAATGCTAACAATTTTCCCTCGACAGATTAATTAACCACTTTGCAATAAACATGCTACTTGTTCCTGCAAACAGAACACAGAAAAATGATCTAAGGAGGCCAGATTGTCATTTCAGATGGACGAGTGCGAGCTGCAATTTTACTCACCGTGAGGAAATGAGAGTATGGGGTGGAAGCCAGAATCCAGCAGAGCTATTCGTTCCTCTAGAGACATTCTCTCTGGGTCGATGGTCTGAAGAGAGGCTTTAAAGTCACACAAAATGCAGGAATTGGGCTGCTCACAGTTACACTTCATGCTCAGAGGCTTCTGTGGCTGAAACCAAGAGATAAAAGGGCTAATTGTCCACAGCACAATGCGCGCAAAGACTAATGCAAGCGGACTAAAGGTGGCAAATCAAGCAAGCAGAATGCACAACTCCTGAAAAAGAGGCCTGAAATGAGCTGAACGCAGTTTTGCTTCTTCCTATGGGAATAGGAACACTCCCAAAAACAAGCACAAACAACCCGCTCTCTATGTCAAAACGTGCAACCAAACTAGCATGAGAGGAGCACAACTTCCTTTCCAGAAACTTGTCTCTTTTGTTTGCAAACATTCAGTTTACTGGCTTTCATGACCCACTTCTGCACTAAGAAAATATGCGTAAGCATCTCCTTTTTTTCTGATTCAGCTCTTCCTGAGGCTGAGAAGGGACAGTCAGAATGAAAGCCACGCATGGCAGCCAAAGGTATCAGCACACACAAGCTAATTCTGTTGTTTGTAGATACCAGGAAAAAAAACTGAAAAGTAATTCTAAATCAGTTCCCATAAAGACCCAGTGGAACAAAACTTCACCAAGCAGGGAAAAAAGGACACTAGATGGAACGGGAATGGAATGAAAAAGCTGGAATGAAGAAAAAGAGGATTTTTTTTAAAGAAGTAGAACAATAGGTCCATTTTGCCACCTGGGTTCACCCTGAGAAGCAGTTTCAGAGGGTCTCAAGGGATGGAAGTGAAAGCTGCCCACACAGAGGCACACAGGAGTGAGCGTGCTCTCGGTCAAATCGCACACTTCAACAAATTCCCCAGGGAACAGCGGCTGACACAACCTTGACACAGTACGAAGTTAAGCATCTCTGTTGCTTCATCTCCAGGAGCTGGGTGGGCGAACAGGGAGAGGCTGCTCAGGCGCAGTCCTCTCTAAGGCCCTGCTGCCTCCGTATTCTAGGAGGTGACCATGATCTCAGCAGAACTGCCCACCAAGGCCCTGGGAAAATCCCCAAGTAGATCCTTTAGACCTCTGGGGCAGTCAGATCAAATGGGTCCTTCCTCCCTGCAGGGGACAGTGGCAACAGCCAATCCCCTCGTGATCTGGCCCTGACGAAGGGCAAATATTAACGTCCCACATCCTCAGACCGTGTTGTATCTGCTGGGACAAAGAACAGATCCAACGTGCCCCTAACATGGTCCAGCCCAAGACAACCTGGGACAAGCCTAGGGTCGCCATGGCAGCCACGCCTCTGGCCTTCCCCCCAAAGACGGCAAGCTGAAGTCCCCCACGGCCATCAGCCGGGGAACTCCACTGCCAACCAAGTATAAGGTTAAGCAGCAAGGGAAAGGACGCCGCTGTGCGGTGGACGGGCGGTAGAACACGAGCAGCAGCTTCTCCGTAGAGCTCAACTTCAGGAGTAAAGCCTCGCTCGTGGTTATCTGGGGAACAGGGCCTTGGCCACCCGCAGAGCCTCTTGAATGACAACTGCCACACTGCTTCCCTTGTCCTGGACTGTGGTTGATAGCAGACACAGAGCCCAGAGGAGCACATTGTGGTGAGGCAAACAGCCCCTTTGACGCCCATCTAGATTTTGGCAATACAGGTAGTCCTCACTTACTGACCGCAACTGGGACTGGCAGCTTCGTTGCTAAGCGACACGGTTGAAAAGTGAAATGTCACGTGACCACACAAGACTTATGAGGTCAGTCAGTCACTTCTGGCTGCGGTTGTTAAGCGAACCACCATGGGTTGTTCAGCACGTCACATGACCACGACCTGCAACTACCTGCTGGCTTCCCCGTTGACTTTGCTTGTCGGAAGCCAGCTGTGAAGATTGCAAATGGCAATCATGTCACCACGGGGACGCTGCAACAGCAACAACTTTGAGGACTGGTTGTAAGTCTCCTTTTTCAGTGCCATCGTAACTTTGGTTGCTGAACAAGTGGTCAGCAAGCAAGAACTACCTGTACAAGCCAGTTCTGTCTTCTTATCACAATTGTGAACGAGGAGAGCTTTATTAAGGGTGACCTGGATTCCACAACGACAGCCTTCAGATAAATATATATTGATCAATTTATACTTTCACCAAGTCTTTCCAACATGCTTTTTCTTGAACTGGCAATTTGCTGATGCTCAACTGCTGATTGGTAGAAAACATACTTCAATGTATTTGGTGACAGTTAAATATTGATGCCTATAACTTAAAGCCTGTTCTGGCTCATAAAACAGAACAGCCGTCCCATGCCTACATATGCAGATTAGCCTTTCCCAGATAAATGTCAAATAAGCTTCTTGATGGGGCACAAGTCAAAATGGCACGGAATGCTGATCAACTCTTGAGAAAGGGAGGATAAAGAGGCCATAACTGGGTGGGAGAAGAAAGGAACCAATGGGATTCTGTATAGGAGCAGTTTACATTCCAACATTTTCATAAGTTCTAATTGCAATTCTATCCCTAACCCTAATTGCATATATATTGGTTTACAGCTCTTCAAGGAACTGCACCACACCCAAAGGAAGAAGGGGTGGACTCTTGTGTGCTCTGCAGTTCGATCGCTTATGTCTGTAGTTGCACAAAGAACAGGGAGCAGATGGACAAAGACTTCTGAGATCTTACAGAGAAGTTGCTAGCTAAATTCCACAGTGGGGGGCCTGATTCCACTGTGGATGTGCAAAATGCCTTGCCTGATAATGCAGATGGATAAATGGGAGGGAGGGGCAGGGGAGGGAGAACTTGCTGACCACGCCCTTGCAAGGTATTTTCCACTCAGGTGGGTAGCTAATTATAAAGTAAAGGTGACTTGACCCAGCTGGCAGCCTCTTGTTTACAAGACAGAGGCGTTCGGATTTTAAAGAGCCTAACACATAACTAATAAAAAGAGGAGAAATTCCTCTTTTCTCCCAGTTTGGTGTATCAAAAGCAGACAAGGAAGCAAGATGACCCCAAATGCCAGGGTTAGGTGTTTGCATAAAAGAACAAACTCAAATGTCCCAAGCAAGCAGTGCCATGAAGGGCAGGAAACAGCACTATAATTTGTTTTTACCAAGTAAAATTATTGGCTTTTTGACAGAAGAGTTTGGTTTCTGAAGTATTCAGCAGGAGAGCTCGCCTATGAATTTTCATAGAAAAACTATTCTACAAGCCTGAAAATCAGTTAGCTTTCCTCAGTATTTGACACTAGCTTTGACTAAACTTAGTAATCACAAGATCAGAGGACCTATCCTGTTACAGATCCCTAACTGGTTTAAAAACAGAAGGCAAAAAGCTGGTTTACAGCAGAGTAGGAATAAAGGAGCAATGTTCTCAATGGAGGAAAGAAGAAGTGAAATCCTTTGAGGATCTGTGTTGGAACTGGTGGTTTTAATTGTTTATAAAAGATACTGACTAAGAGACAAAGAGCAACTGGCCAACTTTGCAAATAATGCTAAAACCAAAAGCATTTATGAAGAGCTCCAGAAGAATGAATTCAAATTGCATTTGATCAAGCAAGTGGAAAATGCATTTCAATTTAAATAATTGTCAAGTGATTCACACTCCAGCAAAGGAACATAATTATACATATACACTGATGGGGTCTCAACTGTCTGTATTTAACCAAGGGAAAAATCTTCAGGTCACAATGAAGAGTTCCATAAAAGTATTGACTCAATGCACGGCCAATGTCGAAAAGGCAAATGTTGCGCTATGGATCATTAGGAAAAGGACTGAAAATAAAACTGCCAGCCTTAGAATGCACTAGTGCAAATCGATAGCATGTCTGCAAAAAGTGCAGAATAGAGCAGTCAAAACGATCAGTGGGCTAGAATCTTTGGGACTCTAAACTGGGGGGGGAGGCAATTGAAGAGGGACATGATCAAAGCATATGAAATCATACGTGGCATAAACAATGTGAAGAGGGAAAAGCTTTTAATCCTCTATAGGAACAGAGGCCATCCAAGGAAGCTGCCTGGAAAGAGAATTAAAGCAAACAAAACAGGCAGCTTTTTCACACAGGGCATAGTTTAACCTGTGAAATTCATTGCCACAATAATGGCACTCCTCTGGAGGGCTCCCCAAGGGAACTGGATAAATCCATCCAGGATGGGTCTAGTGAGGTCTATCAACTGTGAGGATGTCCTCTTACCACAGGGCTGGGGGCACAGCTGGGGGGGGCAGCAGGAGGGGGCAGCAGTACCTAGAGGCATCTGGTTAGGCACTCTGAGGAAAAAAATGCTGGACTACAGTGGGCCTTAGTCCAGAAAGGCTGTTCTTACAGTCCTAACATCAGAAACCCCTTTCAAATGTCTTCCTTCTCTTCACAGGAGCCACGGTGATGAAACTTCACACTTACCCTTCTATTCAGTTGAGCAATGGTGTTGATTCTCACCAGCCTGCGCTTCTTGTACCTGCAAATTGGACGGATTCTAGCCGCAACACAGCTGTTGTCAAGGGAAGAGGCCACTGCAGGCAGGCCGTGGTTCAGCTGCGTTGGTTTCTTGAGGTGCCTGTCGGCACTTGCACCCTCTTGAGAACTGCTGGTGGTACACGCGCTCAAGCTGTACCAAAGAAAAGAAACGTTCACACTGAGAAGTATTCTGAAAAACTAACAAGAACGTCATTTTGTAGAAAAGTATGGTAACCTTCCTCCTCTGCCCCCCAAAGTTTTTGCAAAATAAATCCTCAGGGAACTAGTAGCACAACTGTGAGCTTCCATCAAATTGCTTCAATTTGATTTCAAAGTGATTTTGCACATTGTGCATTACGTACATTCAGAAAGCAAGCATGCATTCGGCGAATATAACATTAGCCGTTCATGCTGGATTGGAGCCCTGGCCCATCTAGCCCAGCGGCCAAACCACTGCCCAAGGAATCCCACTGCCTCCCAGCGGATGGCCTTCAGAGGCAGTCCCACTGCCATCAAGGCTGAAAGCCAATGATCGCCAGTCTTGATTAATTCACTCGAGACTCAGCATTTACCAAAATAGATTTAATGTGGATTGTTGTATTTTCCTCAAAAACAAATCTGTACTCGATAATTATTTTATTGAGTTGGATCCAGACTTAGACATGGAGAAGCTCCTCTGAAATCAATTAAGAAGATTAATCTGAAAATGAGTCCACTCAACAATGGACCAATTGGACCGGCATTACAATCAAGTGCCCTGCAGACCATAAAGAGGAAAATCAGTAACATCAAACAGGCCAACTTGATTCAGAAATGTCCCTCAACTCTCCAATGGGAATTTTGAGGGAAGGAAGGACTGAAAAACATTTTGGAGTTGTGGAGGGTATCAAACAACAGATAAAAAGCCTTGTAAATTACATAACATTACTGCCAAATTCAGGTTGGAATGAGAACGAGCCAGGACCCCGGGCAACCCATATAAGATGGACGTGCCTACCAGCTGTAAGTAAACCTCCTTAATTTAGACTCCATTGTTGTAATTTAGCACAATCCTCTGTATTTGCTCACTCGTCTGATTCAAGTCAAGAGTGGCACCAGCAGAGCAGACAGCAAGTATCACAAAAGCCCAGATGGAGTGGGTCGGGAAATTTTACTGCACTTATCCATCCTTACAGTAGATCCACTGGAATCAAGGGGGCTTAAAAGAATCCTAAATGCAATCTGACCTGTTGCAAACACTTCCTCTATGACTGAGGCTGCCTCCAAACTATCCTTCACAGCTGTTTTGCCTGCCTTTTTCCCAAGGGGTACAAGGCCAGGGTAGACTTCTCTCCCTCACCTTCAGCAACTTGAGGCCCAGAGAGGATACACACAACTAACTCCAAGACACTCGGGAAGCTAGTTTTCCCTTTCTGCCTCCTCCACTCAAATGTACCCAAATTTATGAGTTACTAGGATTTCGGGTCAAATGGGGTCAGAGGATTTTTCATCAACATTAAAGCACCTACTTCTTCAAGCTAAGATTAATTCTGAGTGACATAACAGGAGGTGACTCCCTGGAAGCAGTTGGCTACTGCCTTCATCCCAGTCCAGCTGACAGGCCGGGTCTTCCCTAAAGGACACCCACCAGGCCCAGCGCGGATTTGCTTCAAACCCCAGATGAGGTCAGCCACTCCTGAGACTTTAAATGTCTTCAAAGTCAGAAGCTTTAAAGGCCAGACAGCGCAACACAGGGTTTATTGTGTTCCACAGCCTGTTACGCTGAAAGGCCTGGCAGCAAGCAAGGCAACATATTTAAATGAAAGCAGCCTCATCCTGTGGTAACCAGCCCTTCTCCTGGTCAACATCACACCCTCTTCATCAAGGGAACAAGCACCTTGTAACAGAAAACTATTATTCAAGAGGGCAGGAAAAGATAATAGGAAAAGCAGTTCAAAACAGAAGGAGGCTATTAAAAGTATAATTGCGAATCATTCCAATGAGGAAAAATGGAGAACAGTAGAAGAAAGCAAACTTCTTCTTCCTAGTGTATTCCCACAGGTGCAGGGTCCACTTTTCAGATCAACAAACACAATGCAGGTATCCAAAAAACTTAGAATTCCAGAGCTGGTGTCGTGGAAGGAAAAGCTTAGAATGAACTGAGTCAGCAAAAGATGCTACAAAAGGGGTCCTTTAGATATGTTCAAAATAAAATATCCCCTATGTCAGCTGCTCAATGAAGAAGGCAAAATGCTAACAAATAATGATGGAAAGGCAGAGCCACTCAACTCTTATTTTGGTTCAGTCTTTTCCAACAAAACGGTGTGTTCCACCAAGAAACCAAGGATAAAAGGACAGGACTGAAGTTTGAGGCTGACAGACATGCGACCAGAGAAAACCTCTTTAATGTGGATGAGTTTAAATGTCCAGAGTAGATGGAAGAACCAGCTGATGATCTGGCAGTACTCTTGTTTTATCTTGGGAGTCAGATGAAGAAATGTCCAACCTTCAAAAAGAGGGGGGGATTAAAATCAGCAAACTATGGACCTGTCAGCCTAATACTGATACTTGGGAAGATTCTAGAGAAAATGATAAAAAGATCAGTATGAAATGACCTTGAAAACAATGTGATAATTACCAGAAGTCAGCATGGAACTGTTAAGAACAAATTTTATCAACCTAATCTTATCCCATTATCAGGTTTGTAAATGAACAAAAATTGCATGGGATAGCTAGAACAAAAATAATAAAATTAAAAATGAACTTGATGTGTTAGTGAAATGGGCTGAAAGCAACAGGGTGAAATTTGAGACAGTGCAAAGCTTTCCCTTAGGAAACAAAAATCAAATGCAAGGTTATACTGTCTGACTGTAATAGAACTTGAAAAAAAGTCTTTGGTACAGTTGTTGGAGTTGATATCCTGGAAATAATTTTTTGGTGCTACATTATTTTATTAAACTTTTGATATTCAGAAAAACAATTAGGCTTCCAAAGTAGACTCAGAGCGGTTCAAACTCTTAAGATAGTTATCTCTTTTTGTTTCTTCCACAAATTCAACATGACATATGTTGCATTTCCTTCTCCAATTATTCACCTCACAATCACTGTGTGCAACTGACTGAATGGAAAAACAATAAGATGCCACAAATCACCCAGCGTGCAGCTGAAGGGAGATTTGGACCCGGGGTCTCCTGACCAGTGGCTATCTAACAAAAAGACTTGGAGCAACTTCCAGTCACGCATGCCACAGTTCTGTAACTTCCTGAGTGGGAAGACCGGAAGGGCTTGTATCAGCCCTGCATCAGAACCTGGGTTTGCACCTTCATAGCCTCACCCAGATATGCTGAAAATAACAGAGAACGGGGCTTCTATCTGCAGGTCCTGCCATAAACCTGAAGTAACAGAAGCCTAGAGGAACACTTTAACTTAGTACCTGGCCTAAACCTTAACAATTTGTTTGGTATGTTAGAGAAAAAGCTTTTTTAACAAGAGGAAAAATAATCTAATTGGGAAGAGAAGCTAGGCTCAACCCAGTGGGGGGACAGCATCCAATATTTTCCAAACCCAACTACATAGGATTCTTTATTATTTAAGCAGGATAGTGGGAGGAAGAAAGACATAAAAATCCAAGGCTGCTTGGAGCATTTTCGTTTAATGAAAAAACATGGTTGGTTGCTTTGTCAAATGCAGCCAATAATATAATATCTATTAACCTGCAAGCGTTTAACAAATATTCAATAACTTTTAGGAGCTTCAAAAAAAGAAAAAAGAAGATCTTATGCTGACTCCCTGTACTCCTTGCAAAAGGATAAACCTATACAATAGAGGAAATGATTCCAAGTATGTAAGAAGGATCTCTATATAATTCATCGCATGAATAGGATCAAAACACAAAATATACCTTGCATCCAAGAATGGCAGAAAAACTCAAGATGCGGAAGAAGCAAAACCAAGTTGAATTTACAATTAGATGACATTATGGACCCAAAAGCTTCCTTTAATACAAGCCTTAGTCCTTTCAGACCATAATAATTACAATCCTGACACAGCAGGAAGGATGTTTTTAAAGTTCAAGGAATATTCCACTATGTCTTGCAGTTGCTGAATTTTAGTATCACTAGCAATTGGGTTGCAATGGGCTTGGTAACATCTCTTCAAGCATTGGCACAACACGAATCTAATAATGTTGCTTTGTACTCCCCCCTCAGTTCTAGAGTGGGGAAAAAGTCGTCACAAGGTAGGCATTTAACCGGCTTTCTGAAAGTCTGAAAACCACCAAGACAGCATAAAGAAATGGCTAAGGTAAGACGGACCATAACAAAAATAAGAGAAGAGAACTAAGAGATGCTTCAGCATCCAAACTAGTTTGAACTGCAAGTCAGAATGGGTCCAGCCCAAACAAACAAGTAACTCTCCTGCACCAAGGAACCAAGACAATGTTTATATTGACCACAATAAGATTTTGTTGTGTAAGAAGGAAGTACCATTTGAGCTCCCAGAAGTATTAAGCACAGGAGACCTATTTTTTGCTGAGAGTTGCTAAAGATAACGTGGGCAGACAGACCAGAAAATTATTTAAATAAAGAAATGCTCAATGTCTCTCCTTTGAGACCCTCTGATAGGATTGTGCTTGCTTCAAAAAGGATTTAGAAGAAGTGTTTTGAATCTTGAGAGCAGCACCTCTCTCTTATTCGATCAAGTGGCCTCTTGGCTTCAGAGGGTTTTCCATACCTGCATTTAAAACTATACCAAAGGAAGAGAAAAATAGCTTTGCTTTCCACCTTTTTCACCCAGTGAAGCAATCTCAGATTACGAACCATGAAAAAATAATCTGAAGTGATCAACTTCTCATATTTCAGGCTTGTAAATAAAAAGCAAGATGTTTGGGAAAAGCCTCTCTGAATATCCACATTCTTTGTTTCACAAAAACAATATAGCGAAATGACATTTGTTCAACATGGCAAATTTCAAATCATGCTGATCAACCTGTAGGAAGATGAGAACTAACCAGTTACTTATTCCGTTCACTTGATGGGGTGATGCACAGGCTTTGGGGGGCTCTGGAGACCCATTGATGGGAGCACAGGAGGGATTTTGACACACAAGGTTTCTTAAGGACTGGGCAAGGTGAGAATTCTGTAAGAGAAAAAAAAATTCAGATTCATCCAAGCTGTCTGACAGAATGAATCAGAAAACATGTTTACTTACTAGCAGTCTAGAAACAGGAGAATAAGAATACAAAAGCAGCAACTTAACAATGCTCAACCTGATTTTTCATCTCAGCAGGGATAACCAACTCATGTTCCTTTCCGTTAGCTGCTTTCAAAAAACTCTCAACACAAAGCAAACACAGATATAAAAACGAAAAGCTGCCTTTAAATTTATCTCAGAAGACACGAGATTCCTTTTCCTGCTATAATGATTAAATTTCAACCCAAAGCCCAACAGAATAACCCACCAAGGCAATAAACAGCCCAAAGTTTTAAAGATTCCACAGAATTTCTATTCCAATACTTATTTATACCAAAACATGTATAAGGCCCATTCCAGAGGCTCTAGGCAGCAAGAAATCAAAAATCCCAGTAAAATGCAATCAGTAAAACTAATCAAAATAGTATAAAAAGGCAGCCCGTAACCGCTTGTATCATCCAAGCACTCCAAGGTAAAGAACAGTCATAAGAGCCTTACAGAAGGCAAGCAGGCAGGCCCACCACAAATGTTTGGGGATTAGCAATTCCGTAAGGTAAGACGGTGCCACCGAGAAGGACTGCCCCCAGATGCCCATGCAAACCTTCATAGCCCCTCTTGGGACAAGCACCAGGACAGGTGAAACCTGGCCCAAAGATACAGGCCGTCATATGCCCTTTATACATTAACTAATTTCCTACATGCTAATTAGATGCCCTGCAGCAGCCTCCCAAAACATACACACACAGACACACACGTATACTTGTCATTTAGTTTTATGCTACAAATAATACGCATGACAAAAGCTATCCAACTGTTTTCCACTCCACATCTTCAAAGTCAGGACACTTTTAGTATAATGAACCATTCCTCTCTTCACATCAGAAGGCAGCACAGGAAGTCTCTCTCCATTTTTAGTATAATGAACCATTCCTCTCTTCACATCAGAAGGCAGCACAGGAAGTCTCTCTCCATTTTTAGTATAATGAACCATTCCTCTCTTCACATCAGAAGGCAGCACAGGAAGTCTCTCTCCATTTTTAGTATAATGAACCATTCCTCTCTTCACATCAGAAGGCAGCACAGGAAGTCTCTCTCCATTTTTAGCATTTTAAGAAATTCAGCTTTTTTGTAGAGAAGGCACATGCACTAATTGCTTCACAGGAAATGCATAAGCCTCTGTGTGCATTGCGGAGGAAAATTTAATCAGGGCCACATGTTCCTGTGTCTACAAGGCATTTGCTGCGCCCATGAAGAACCCGGTCTGGCACGGAATCTGGCCATTTCATGTTATTTTTTATTTTGTTTTCTTTTCCAAGGGTACAATCTCAGGCAATCTCACTTGAAATCAAACCTCACAGAATGAGATTTTCTCCAGAGTTGGCTTACATAGGATTGGGCTAAAGCTCTGCAGTGAAAATGTGGAATTCAGGCATAGACAGTATTTGGGGAAGGAAGAAGAGAAATCTGGTGACAATTCAGAAGCCAAGTAGGACAGTATTTCTATAATGGGTTTTCCCTGGAAAGTGTGCCCACTACAATTGCAAACCCAACTCCCCCACTATTTCCTAAGAAATATTATCCTACCCTCAGTAGAGATTGTTTTCTTTGAAACCACAATCTCAACTAGCAATGCTAGTAAAACATACCAACTTGTTAAAAAAAAAAAAATCACACACTAGGAAGTCAGTACATAAGGTTCCAACAGACCAAGAATGGCTCTGCAGCTGCAGTTCCAGACAAAGAAGGCAGAAGATAAACTGAGCCTTGAAAATCTGAAAAGTGCTCTCTAGCACATAAACGCTCACATCTGATTGCTGGAATGCTCCTCACCTGACAGAGAACTCATCCAAATTTCAGGAAACTATCCTCATAAGCCCCACTTCAGTATGGAACCTCAGCTTAGATTTGGAGTTCACCACCACTCCTAAACCTCTTGTTAATGAGAATTATATCAGAACAAAAAGCCTTCTTTACGCTTCCTTGTTGTATTTTTCTCTTCACTGAAAATACTTTTTCTCTAACAAGTAAATCAAAATGGAATCTTCTACCACAGTATGGTGAAGATGATGAAGGTGTCAATGACGTTAACAGGCTTTGTGGCTACATTTTAGAATTTACTCCTCCTTTTGACTATTAAAATATTTGCAGTTTGCAAAATTTCTTTGGACCTAGCTCTCTTAGCTATTTATATGTTTCTACCAGCTACCTATTTCTCACTGGCCACAACATCCTCCTTCAAAAAGGAATCTCATGGTAGATCAGTGCTAAGAGTGGGCTTACTCTTAGCACTGATCTACAGGCTTCAGTTTGAAGTCTGATCATGGTTTTCTCCTAATTCACCCATATCCACTTTAAGGTTTTATAGAGGGGCTGTTCAAAGCAAGCTCATTCGCGGCTGCCAGAACAAGCAGAAAACCGCTATTTAGCCATGACCCTCAAAAAGGAAGTGGCGTCTGTCTTTTTATGTCTAAGATCTACGAGGTCTTTTCCCCTGCTCAATCAAAGAAATAAGAAGAGCCCCTGCAAGATGAAAAATTTCTGATCTTTCCTGGGCCTTCCAGGTGCCTGGTAGGTCTGAAATAACCTGGGACTTCAAAATCAAGCTGACAGGCCAGCTTTTCCAGGCCTGCTTCTTGCTTCCACTTACACAAGGACCTAAGTCAACCAGATCCAACCTTGGTTTGCCTGGTCATGACTGGCAACTAAGAACTCTAAAAACTAAGAGTAGGGAGCACTGAAGCTGAATAGGATTTATTTACAAGGTAAATTAATCTCTTGGTGCAGCCCCCTCCCCCAGGTACTTTCCCCGGTCTGGTTTGAAATTCAGGTGAGCTAGCTTTGCTCAGTTGTCCCTCCTCCCGCCAAGAGGGATGAGTTC